AAATGAAGCTTGCAGAACCAGTAAACTACGTTGCTTTCCCAAAACATAGTGCAAACAAAGCCCAGATGGTTATTAAGGGCTAGGAGAGACTTGCACAGACATTAGTCTAGTTTTTGGCTATTGCATATTATATAACACCCTCCAAAGAGCTGCAGCCTGTTTTAAAAGTAGCTCTTTGTTTGTTCTGTCTGGAAAGACTGCTGCTAAACCTAACTGCCCTGATGCTGAGAAACCACAAGGTCAATGCATAAATATTATCTCCTATTTTTGTGTCAACATTGTACTTCAGCTCTAAATAATTCTTTTTCTTGCCTCTAGCCTATCTTTCATAGACAGCAATTGTATCCCCCATAGCCTGTGTTTTACTTCTTGTGAGACAGGCTGCTCAGATCCCTGATGTTCTACTAACACTGAGGGCACTTCATATGACATAAAGGTCTCTGTCCTGATAGGAATTGTAAACAATTAACTCTTAAGGTCTTGCCCAGGCCAGTCTTGTGTATTTCCAGCTTTCCTCTGTCTTCTCTTGGAAGCACCCCTCCTGCCTTTACCAACACACACAACAGTAAATCTCATTTAGTCTTCCTTGGCTGTCACTGCTTTGCATTCATGGGGGACTCATGGCTTGGTGTTTTGAGAGCTGAACTTGGAAGGTGAAAATCCAATGCCCAGCTGCTGCTTCTCACAACCCTTCACTCTCTGTGTCTTAGTATGTCCTATCTGAAAAACAGAGTTAATCAGCTGTGAAATGCATTGACATGTACTAAAGAACAGAACAACAGGGACAACAGAGTACTATCACTGCTGCCTGTGCCAGCGACAAGTTCTGCCTCATCGCAGGGTAAAATCCAAAAGATTTTAGAAGTGTTTAGCACAGGATGTGTGAATGCCATACAGAAAGCTGTTACCCTGGTTTCTGCAACCAAACAAGTGCTTCTATTGCTCCTCCAGGGAAATCTTTATTCATCAAGCAGCATGAGGTATTTATTTTCTGTTTTATAGGAAGTGCTTAAGAAAGAAATTAATTCTTCAGCACTTACCTAAAGAAATCTTCTCCCCTGAATCAGCTGGCAAAAGGAAAACAAGCAGTGCCAAGCCGGATATGAGAACACAGGGAATGAGTAGGTTCAAGCCATAGTAGAGGGTGCGTCGGCGCATAGTGATGGTGTACGTCACGTCTGGGTATGGTTCTTTACAGCATTCATAGTACAGCTCATTCCTCTTTCCTGGAACACCTACAGAGAGGGAGATCAGAGCAATGGGGAGAGGTGCAGGACTATCAGCTAACCCCTTGGAATGGGCCAGGAACTGATGGTTTATGAGCCAATGTGTGGCACCTCTGCCACACTTTGTGCATCGAAGAGTGCTTTGAAGTGTCCTGTGGCAATTGATAACGGAGAAAAGACACCCCCAAACCAGTTATGAGGCAAAAGACATTTTCTAACACTTGTGGCCAATGATGCACACATGGATTAATAGATTAAAGGGGACAAAGGACAACATACCTCAGTTCAATGTTGTTTGAAAGCTGAAATACAGGGTTAAATGAGCCAAGGTAACTCTTAGTGTGTCAGTGTCTTCAGCAATGTCTGAGGCAACAGTGCAAGAAGTCTGCTGTTCTTAGTCCACCTTCTGTGTTTTCTAGAGTTTATTTTCATGCCTGCTGAGTCATCAGAACCTGGCTTAGCCAAGAAAGCTCATCTGGGCCAGATCAAAACTGTTCTGAGCATGCCAGCCTCAACAAGGAAAGATTTGCAAGCAGTGGCCAAAGATTAACTCAGTAAAATGTGCATTCTGCCTTCCTGCATGCAGGGAATGGTGACAAACAGCTGATGTCATGTTCACTAGCCCATGCAGCAGATTTTCTTTGTGACAAGTGCCACAGGTTCTTATTTTTCTATCATTCTCTTATACACATTTGCTTTGTTTTGTCAGGAAAAACAAACAGGATACGGCTTAATTTTCAAAAGAGGTGTCAAGTTAAGCTTAAAATCTGTCATATCTGATAGTTGTCCAATATGGCTGTACTGCAGGGCTGGCCATGGTGACTCAGCTGCAGTAGACTGCCTGAGGCGCTGCGGGGCAGGGACTGCAGCAGCAGAGGAAATGCCAGGGGAGCTGGAAAAACTCGGCACTTCGTATCTTTCATGCCACCATAACTCGCCTCTTTTTAGTGCCTGCGCATATAAGAGAAGATGTGACAATGTGTACGTTTTGGCAGGAGCATGGCAAAGTCTCCATAAAGGATACGGCCATGGCTTGCCTGAGGTGTTACTTAATACTTTTGCTGTATGAGCTAGATAAGGGCCTGTTTTGACCACTCCTGGTCAGGGTTGAAGGCAGATAAACCACAGGCCAGTCTCTTAATCAGATATTCAAAGTTATTGGACAGAAATAACCACTATAAAGGAGCACTGGAAAGTCAGGAGTGCTCTGAAATTGATGGATTTTAGGAGGACTTCTCTAGAGTCCTTCAGCTTCTCATGAAACTGACTATCAATTATGTTTCTTATTGTATTATTTCTCAGATGCCCTGAATGCTAAAACTACTGCACGCAGTTAGTCAGTGACAGTTATTTCTTGTCTACATATCCAGACTAGAAGATGAAATGTCCCTTCTGCAAGCTCTCCTTAGGGTCTTCTAGGCTCTATCAATTTCCATAGCACTGCTTCTGACTTACACCTACATAAATGGGTTCAAAATAACTCACTAGGAGCTCACTCCAAATAAGTAGTTCTGGGCATAGATTCCTCTTTTAAAAATACAGGTATCTTCCAAAGCACAGAAGGGAAGAGAGACATACGGAACTGCAGTTATTTGCAGTTATTATGAACTGGTAGACACTTTGATGGTTTTCTGGGTGAGAGAGATTCATCTCTGTAAAAGCTCATTCCAGTTTTGCTGAAATAGTGTTTTTTACACCAATCAATTTTTGGCTGATGTGTTGGAGTAGATGTGACAGTAGTGTTCCATGCATCTACATGAGACACATCCAAGTTTAGTACTGACAAACTGCTCAGGTGCATCAGGACCAGTAGATTTCATTTACGCACTCGGTTGCAGGCAATTGCTTCAGAACACAGTGTTTTCAGACACAGTTCAATGAATGCGGCTGAAAGGCTGTCTCTGATCTGTGATTTTTTTCTTTTTTTTTTTTTTGCTGCCTCTTACATAGCACCTTTTAATATCTATATTTCATGTCCCACTGGGATTGATCATTTCTATGTATTTGGGGTTTGCCTTTGAAAATTAGACTACTGAATGTTTTTAGGCCAGCCGATTTACCCACTAAATCCCATTCTCCATTTGAGATGTAGTTGGAAATATCAGCCTCGAGCATCTGCAGGTCAATCAACCAGCCACTGTGAGTCCAGGAGCCAAACTTCAAATCACACTTCTGCACATCAAAGGGGAACCAGCGGACATCAATGTAACATGTGCTCTTCAAAATGCCTGTGGGTAGAAATCAGTCAGAATCAAACGTGTGCAGGGTGCAATTCATCTCTACCCGATCTGTCCGATCGATTGTGAGCAACCTTCTCCTCCAAAAGTCTGTGTGATGTAGTCATGGGGTAACCAAACAAGTAGCACAGGTGGAAGATGATGTCATGAGTGGAATAACCTCCCTTCCTGGTGCACCAGTGAAGATCCCTCTCTCTTTCACTGCATCCTTGAGGTAGGTTGCCCAGGACACTCCGGCCGCCCAGGAGCAGCCCAGCCTGTCTCTTAGTGCTGGCTGGCCCTGGCAGATCACAGGCAGTGCTGCAGGGCCTGACAGGAGCAGAGAGTACATAGATATCTACGCACTGTGGCTGGAAGTACTGTGACAAGCTCTTTGAAAGGAGTTCCTTGTCAGGCCCTGCATTAGACACACAATACCTTGAAAATACATTGTTATGCTAAAATTGCTCGGTGCTGGCCTTTACCTTCTGTATGCTAACCTGGGCCCTGAATTTTACTCTGGATGTGTCTAGTCCACTATCATTATTTCATGTGACATTTTAAGCAGTTTAGGAGATTAATACTTGTATATTGTTGCAATCTAATTATTTCTTTTTTTTGTTATTCAGCTGAGAGAAGAAAAAAAAATAATGGATGCTCCAAACTTTCTTCTTGGGGCCACAGCTGTGGCTGTGGACTTCCCGAGCTGCCTGGCAGCATAGAGGGCTTGGAGAGTGGGGAAGATGATCTGGGCAGCCTCCATCACTGGCAGCTGGTGACAAAGCACAGAGGTCATCCCTGCAAACCCTCACCCCTGTGGGCCTGTGGCTTTGCAGCCTTCACCTTACCTCACCAGTTCACTACGTGCTGGCCAGCTCAGCGGCACTGTGTGAAAGAGAGGCAGCTTCTGCTTCATTGGAAAATTATCTCCAGCGCTGCACTTAGTCTACCTATTTGCAGTAATTGTTTCTGTGTGCTCCCTAAAACACCAGACAATGTGAATCCCAGCTCTGAGTCATCTAACTGAGCGGAGTTTGATGTTTTGCAGTAAGTGTGAGCCATGCCTTTTGAAGATAAAATCCCCCAAACAGCAATCCTTGATTATTGTCTTTGCCTGCTGTTGCAAAGGCTGAGAGCATTGTGGCATAACCGTATGTGCAAGACCATGTCCCTGCACAAACACTGCTGCTCTGGGGTGGCTGTCCCACCTTCATTTGTCCTTTTATGTTCTGGGAGGTCTGACTCCCACCATCATGGCCATTTTTGGATGGGCTACATGGAGGCTTTTCTCCCAGTTTCTCCTGAATCTTGACTTTGTTCCTTTCCTTAACAGCAGACAGCTGTCCCCTTCTTGTCCTTTCTCTCTACTCCTTCACCTATCTTGTTTCTCTAATGGAAAGCAGCAGTGAGTACAGCCTGCTTTCAGAGTCATGGGAAATAAAACTTTCATGAAGCTTTGGAAACACCGTCTTTTCCACTCTTCCATGTTTTCCAGTGTCTTGATTAATCTAGCTGCTTCTGTGAGCCCTTGTTGCCAGTCAGTATGCTGATTATAAATTTTTTCCTTCTAAAATTTTGCAAAGTAGTTTGGCAGCAGTTAAATCCCTGTAACAAAGGATTTCCTGTGCTTTACACAACAAATTTCTGTTATTACTTTTTCTCTTTTTACTCTTTGCTTGGGTTCTTAAGTAACCAACTCTTCACTGTGGAGTTTGTAGCTCACCAAGAGATGAGCAGGACACCAGATCTGCCCATATAGGCACTCTCTGCATCACCTCCCAACCTGGAGGGATGGAGAAGGCTCTGCTCTGGTACATGCCAATTTTATTCCAGTCTCATGTTGCCCCCTGGAGAGCAACCTTACCCATGGGTCTGTCCCAGTGAAAGCACAGGAATGCTTTAAGGGGTCTCAGGGGTAGGGATCAACAGAGGACCAGCCATCAGGGAACACCCACTTGTTCCCTGATGGGCCCTGTGGACATGCTTGGGGTCAGTCTGCCAGCAGCTATGACACAAAGTTTGGGAATTTTTTGTCCACCACAGTGAGTGACAGTGGGAATAGCCTGTGTATTTGCTGGTAAGTCCTGGCTGCTGGGCCCTACAGGCACTGAATCGGCAATACAGATGGAAAGCAGGCTGAGACTCGGGTCTGTCTGGCTGAGACCAGTCTCAGTTTGTCTTTTGACCTGGAGTTGTAGCCTCAGCCTGGCAGGGAGGACTTCACTGCAGAGGGAGTGCTGCTCTCGGGACCTCCTGTGGTCACACACCTCTCCACTCTCAAGAAAGACCTAACTGGATTGCACATGAAATGTGATGTGAGGGTGCACACAACCTTGCTTTAGACAACACCTCAGCTGGGCCTCTGAATGTTCTAAGCAAACTGCTCAGGAGAGTGATTTATTGATTTGTGAAGTGGAAATACACCACTAATAATGGACCTAAATTATTTCAGTGGGTTTGCCCCATAATTACACAGCTTGCAAAATTTCCACAGACTGCTTCTAAACACCTTGGTTTCATTCATGAAGGAAAACTGCTCGTAGTTATTCAAAGCTACACATTGACTTAAAGCAAACAAATGCTCTCTGTGCCCTACCTGGAGGAATATATTGGCAGGATCCAGAGTAATTCACCAGCACGTTCGTGTGAAATGTCGCATCAAATCTTTCATCCGCACTATAACACAGTATAAAAAAAACAAAACAAAACAAAGAAAAAGCAAGCTGATGTTTGAGTTAAGATGTAGTAACTGTCAACATAAAAGCAATCTTTTGGCTGAATTTAGTGCACAGAATGTTTGAATTAAAGTCCTATGCCTGGGTGAAGAGTTCACCCTCGATCAGTATCTCAGCTTCTCATAGACACTGTTGGCCTGTACCCAGGCATGCTGGTTGCATGCTGCAATGTGCTCAAATAAGTGAGAGGCAGAGCTGTTGGATGTCTCAGAGCAAAGGCAGAAGTGAAAGGAGCAAAAGTGTCACAGTAGCTGTACCCAAAGACTGGACAGTCAGGAGGATGAGGCTTTTCTGGGGCTGCTGTCAGAATCAGGCAGCTCACAGCATAAATCAAGTTATCTCTTACCCAGATATCTGTTGTAGGAGTAATGGTGGCCTGAGGCAACAATTCTGCAGTTTCTTAGGATGTAGAGGGGCCAAGGGTTTGCTTCAAGCAATGGAGGAAAGCACTGGGGAGAAGTTGTTTTAGATTTGGGACTTGTAGGAGGAGATTCATTGAGACTCTAAGAGCAGAAACCAGGTGAAAGGGACCAAGAAAAGAGAATTTCTTTAGGATTCTAGTAACTCAGAGAAAAATAAGGGAGTAATGAGCCAGGCAAGGACAAGAATTCTTCAAGGGAGCAGGCCTGGGGGCTTGCTCCAGAGGGTCTCTTGGGAAGAGGCTAACTACGGAGGGTCCCCCTGAGAGCCTTGCCTGACATGGCTATGTGCAGGTCTATGTTGCATGACTACACCATCTTACACACCCTGTCTCACAACCAGACGTGGAAAATTCAGACCCTCCGTCCCTCCTGTGACCTGCTTTTTATTCATGTCTAAGTCCTCAGTCCTCAGTATTGTCCCCAGCACAAAACAAAGGGAATAAAATTGAAAAGGCTAAGTGCAGAATGAGTGATAACTATCAAAAGACATAAAAGGTCTTAAAAGCAAGAAAGGTTTTTAAAAATGCAAGGAAACAAGGAAAAGACGAAGGACCAGATAGATCCATTACTTGATGTGGAAGGAAAGGAAACAACAGGGTGCAGAGAGCTGCAGTATCCTGCACCCTCTATGCTCCACTCTTCACAAACTGTGGCTCACCACAATTAATTCTCGCACAGTGGCAGGAGTCCAGGGCAGAACAGGGGAGGAACAGGTTAAAGAAGTGTAGATAAGAGAGATTCCAGTTGGCAGGGCTGATGAAATTTACTTTTGAGAACTGAAGGGACTGGCCGAAATAACCTCTGAAGCATTAACAATTATCTGTGAGAGCTCGTGGAGAACAAGGAAGGGCTCAGGGAATTAGGGAAGATCAAAGAGAATTCTGATTTTTTTTTTTTTTAAAGGTGAAATTATAGACACATCAGCCTAACTTCAAAGATAATGAGGTGAAAACAGCTGGCACAGATTTGTCAAGGGCCAACTGCATCAAATCAATCTGATTTTCTTACTGACTGAGTAAGAGGAGGCAGGTGATATATATGAACTTCAGAAAGCTTTGCCACATCATGTTCTTATAAACAAACTACAGTAATATGGACCAGGCTATATGCCTCCTTTTTAAAGACTGAAAAGGAATAAAGAGACTGTGAGGAGTAAAGCTGAAGTAAAGAAGAACACTTGAAAAACCCAGGTCACTCCAGGCCTCCTTTGGATATCTTGTAGTGAGGGCTTGGAATGGAAAATGGATCTTGGTGAACTGGGGAAACCAACAGAATGAAATTTGGTCTGGAGGTTTAGAAAGTATCACCCTTAAAACTGTCAGAGAAAGACAGATCAGTGAAAATATAGTAAGACAGCAAGGCTGAAGTACAACATCTGGGGTTTGTGATAGATCAAAAAATAAGTCCAAAACTAAGATGTTAGAGCAAAATCAAAATTCCCTCCTCCTGGAAAGTGTGAAGGAAACATCTGTCTAGAGAGTTTCCACTCCATTCAACACTGCAGAAGTGCTGGCTAAAGAGCTGGATTCAGCTCTGGAGGAGGAAAAACAGATTAGAGAGCGTTCAGAGGGGAAGAGGAATGATGGAGAGGTTTATAAAATATGAGTGATGAGGAAAGTGAGAAGAAAATCTCTTTATTTCAGGCAGAACACTATGGCAGAGACATGACAATAATTTTCCAGGAGAGCTGTGGTAATTATAAGGAGAATATGGATTGCTTTCTCTCCACGTTCACTGGGAAAAGGTAAAGAAGACGTCTACAGAACTACAGCAAGGAAGATTTAGATTGGCTATTAGAAAAATCTATTAGCTGGCGCTTGTTTGCTTTTATTGTTATTATTTCAAGAGTAAGAGCCAAATCCCCAGATGGCAAAAGCCCCAGAATATCAGTGAAGCATGGCTGATTTCCAGCATCTAATGCTCTAGTTCTAGGCTCCCACCAGCCATTGTGTATCTTGCTTACCTGTTATACAGAAGAATGTCTGGTACCCAAATCTGGTCGGCTGGAAATCGCAAGTTCTGCACCCCTGGGTATTCATACTGATCCCAAGACAAGTAAACATCAACCCAGTACTGTTGGCAAATACATACATCAGATTATATGAGCTGGTAGAACTCTTCTAAGTTGTCTGAATATTACGGGAACAGAATGGATTTTGCCAGTAACAATAGCAGTAGTATGTTAACAGTTTAATGCTCGGCTTTAATTATTAAGAAAGGTTGTTATACATACTGAGGAATCCACAGTGTGACAACTGAATGCTGTGAGATGTATTTTAATTTCATCTAACCCCTCCATCTTATGGCCTGAAGCCAGGCATCCCAAACCTTTTCTGGTAGGCTGGCAGAAACACTGGCAGCAAGCACCTCCATAAGGCATGCTGCTTCTCAGCTGAGGTGGTTTGAATGACTTGGGTATCATCAGTGGCATGTGGATCACAGTCTGAGAGTCCCTCTTTGGTGAAAATAATTTAATCTGTTACAAAGTTTGGGTGATTTGTTTAATAACCACCTTGCTATGAGAGGTAGACAAGTGAACTTTATATGCCAAGGGGTTGTTTCTGATCACCCCTCCTCCACACCAAAACAAACAGTTAATTCAAGAAAGGTGCAGGCACAGCCTTTGTGCTGAACCTTGTGACTTACAGCAAAGCTCTGTGGGAGGGCCGCAAGGGAAACATACCAGTGCTATAACTGAAGAACACTTCTGCAAGGGACAGGACACCCACAGGCTCTGTCCTAACAATCCTGTAATCTATAGGTTGGTCTGGGTTAGTTTTTGCAACAGAAAACAACTCATTTCTGCTGCAAATGCCAGCAGGTAGCTGAGGAAGAAACAGCCTGTTCAGTTGCACCCATTAACATGAGATGATAGTGTTTGGCTTCTAAAGTCAAAGCAGAATTAGTTCAATCATTCAAGTCTCTCACAGGCTTTCCCTCCAAAGCTGCATCTTTACTGAGCACAAGCCAGTTTACGTGCCATAAGAAAAGACCGTTATCTCTTGCTATATGCGGCCAGCAGCAAACCTGACAGAAAACTCCCTTCCCCAAAGCCCTCAGTGAAGATCAGTTTTGCTTATCCTGCATGACTGGTGCAAGTCACTCCTCAGCTGGAGCAGGCTGCAGAAGAGGGAGGAGGAACGTTTATGCATGAGGTTTGTAAAGCGCAAGGGAAGGCAATGTTCCCACTGACATGCCTGGGCACTGCCAGCAGCAATGCAGCACAGGGCTCCTTGCAGTCCCTGGCCACCCCACCACTCAGCCCGAGCAGTCTCCACATGGTCCAGCATGGCTGCATTGCTTCTGTGGTCACGGACAAGTGCTGGGGATCTTTGTGCCCTGCCCTCCATGGGGGCATGCCTGGCTCCCCGTTTCAGACAGAGGTGGGGATTTGCCCACAAGCCGTGAGTGCAGGGTGCCTGGGTCTTACTGGGTGTCTGGCTCCTTCTCAAGTCCCCGTCACTGGCCTTGGAGAGGGCCTTGAGCCCCTTGAAGAGTCTCTCCTTCTGCTACGCTGTGACCATAACTTTGGGCTCTTTGTTACTAGATCCCTACATCCACCGGCCTAACAACACAGTTGTTTTCACCCTCCAAAGGCCAACAGGTCTGCCTAAAGGATTAATGTAGTTTCCTGCATTTCTTTTTTAAGGCTAAAAGGAGCACTAGAGAAATTTCAAAGGGCTCAAAATGCCTGGTTGTCTCACATTATAGACAAATTAAAAGACAGCAACCTTGCTTTTCATCTAGGAAATCACATTCAGTAGTTTGCTATTAGAAAGGGGTTTTTTTTCTTTATTGACAGGTTACTCACCATCTGCAGCCAAGCATTTGTGATCAACAGCTGATTCTTCTCATCCTTTGAACAAAAGGGGGAAGGAAAGGGAAGAGAAGAGAAAAAGGGATGAGACTCAAAGTACAGTTTGAGTACAGGTGGAAGAGTTTCTGTTTCTTTTAGAATACCCAGAGTCTTGGGGTAAATAAACACAAACCTTATGGAGTAGATTGTGAGCTCAGTGCAAAACCTCTGAACTGCATTATATGGCCCAGGCAATAATGGGTCTTTTCTATCTCTTAAACCTACAGACCTCCTGCATTTATCATAACTGATCAACAACAGAAGTGAAAATAATAGGTAATTGCTCTTATTTTGCTGGGGACAATCAGACTGCTTACCAAAAGCACAAGTTTTTCCTTCTAGCTAGTTGGTCAAAACAAGATGATTTCCAGTACCACACGGCATGCAGTAGTTGGAGAGATTTTACATTGTATTTGCTGCCACTGCAAAACAATGGTGAGACGGTGCTAGAAGTGCTGTTCCTTTGGAGTGTCGGTGTTATGTAGCTTAGCTCAGGCTGAAAGGGAAGGAAGGACTGGCCTTGGGCAAAAGCTAGCACATGGCGAAAGGACACAAATGCTGCCTGAGCGGGAGCTCACATGGTGCCTGCACAGAGCAGGAGTCTGTAGGTTCAGACACCTGCATGCAGAGGCCACAGGGAAGCAGCTCTGACCCACAACAGAAACAAAGAAGCCCTCAACGAGCTGGTCTCCAAGCGTTTTGGGGAGCTGCAGGGTGCCCAGCTTGCTGCAGTTAGCCTGCAGGTGCAGGACCCTGCAGTGCTACTGCCACAGCAGGGGTGGAGAAGCAGGGCTGCAGAGTTACTGTGGTGCTGATACCCAGATCCACACCCCCACCTGGCACAGCTCCAAATACCACCACAGGTGTGCCCTGCACTTCACAGGAGCTGAGGCTGGGGTACTCAGTGGGTCTGGCTCACTGTGTGCCCAGCTGTCTCCACACCACAGGGAGGTGTTTCTTGACCTCAGAGCATCACCTGTGTTCAACCCTTACCTCTTCAGAGAGCACTCCAGCTTTGACTGAGGTGCATCCGGAAGCTTGGTTTTGATGCCGTAGCTGCAGGCAGGCCTGATCAATGCAGCCACTCTCCAAGAAAACCACATTCTTGGCCAAGAGGCATACCAGAAAGCAACAGTTTCCCCCTCTGATTCAGCTCAGCTCTCTTGGGCACATGTCGGAAGGCACAGCTATCGCCTGGCCCAGGTGACTCACTTGTCAACAGCAAAGTGGAAATACCTTCAACTTGTTTTCTCTGGGATTGCCATCCCATGGTGCATTGACTTGACTCCTCTTCCTATAGATAAATTGAAATAAACTGTGATTTGGGCCCCTGAAACACTACTACTCTTTAATTAGAGGCAAAATTTTTGTTTGATTGTTTTCTTCCCATTCTTCCATAGCCAAGGTGAAACGTAGAACTCACGCAGACTCCAGAGATTAGCTACATTACAGGGAAAATAAGGAGATCTCTGAAGGACAGAGATATGTTTTAGCATCAGACAAAGCTGCTGTAAAACTCTACAGCAAACCCTGTGAGCTGCAGCCCATCATTGCTGTACTGAAGTGATCAAACCTCAGGGTACAATGCAGAAGTGTGGGAATGTGGAGGCACCAACAGGATGCAAACACTCATGACAAGTATGCTGTAAGATCAGCCAGACAGGGAGCTTCACCAAGATGCAAGATGATGTGTTGGCCTAGCAAATTTCTAAGGAGAATCTCCACTGCCTACCCATGGGTCCAGGCTCTCTCCTGATCAAGTCACTTCCCAGGCTCATGATAATAACCACATAGTGCCAGTGCCCAGCTCCTCCAGATGGCTGAGCTACCTATTCATGTGTCTCCATGTGTGTTCAAGCCCTAAGAAGCACATATGGTTGTCTGCAGTGTTTGGGGTGGGAACGTTGCAATTGCAGACTGCTGTGGCAGGCATTTAAACCCTACAGAGTACCCTGGGCATGCAGGCCCTCTCTGGTCATGTTCTTAATGTAGAAGATGAGTTAGTGTGTGCTTGACATTGTCCTCCATGCCAAATATCTATCCCTCTAACACCTATCCTGCTCCACTTGAGTCCATGCCACTTCTACTCTTCATTGGCACTCAACATCCAAAAAGCCTGGTCTCTAAAGCCACAAGGTAAACCACAGCCCTGAAGCAGCCTGGGCTTTTTGGTTCACTCTGATCCTATACTATGCTATTTTTTTTTTTTTGCAGTACTTATGGGCTAACAAGGTAGTGAATCCAAAACTGCCTTATACACTTTGGAAAAATACCAGTCCGCTCACCTCAAGCTACATTCATGCTCTCTTACCTCCGCTCCTCCCCTCCAGAGCTAGCCTTACAGTACATATGCAAAGAAACTACCCCAGAAGCACCAGGAAAGATGTGAGCTGCTCAAAGCAAACTGCATCATCTCACACTGAGCTGCATCACTAGGTGTGTGCTTTCTTCCATGAGGCCTCTGGGTATACTTCTTGTGTATCCCATGCAGGAATCACTGCATGACTGCAGACTCCCAGGCTAATGCATGAAACAGAACTGCCTGGAGAAGCCTCCTAATTACTGATTTCCCTGC